CCCTTCCAGCCCTAATGTCTATGAAATCTATGAAATTCAAAAATGTATCAAGTTATATTTGAATTTTAATCCTATCATCAGAAGTGCTTGCAAGACTTCATGTTGTCTCCAAAGTTGATAAATATATTCTCTATGGCTACATCCAAGTCATTAAAAAAAATCCCAAAACAGTAAATAGAATTGGAACTAGAATAAATATGAGGGGAACACCACTTGAGGACATTGATTCATTAATACTTACTCACTGCATGCAGTTATTTAACCAGTTATGCATTCACATATAAAACTGACTTTTATTCATTTTTCTTATAAGAATGCATGGGTAATGATGTAACAATTCTTAATACAATCCAGAATTATGTTAATGTCCTTTCCCTTATAACAAAAATAGTTACATTGCCTTAAATGAAAATGTGTTCCTAACAAATCGATGTTGACTGCTAGTGGCCATCCCTTCATCCTCCTTAGCTTTGTGAAATAAAAAGTGCATATAGCCATAAGAGTACAGAAGGATGAGATCTGATTATCTAATCCACCTCTTGGATGCAGTCTTGCATACCTTTTCCCCTCTGAGTTCCTGAAGTGCTGTTAGAAGTGATCACTTGTAATGATCAACGGTCAGTGAAACTATGTATATTGTACTGAATTTTCTAGATCTCAAGGACTTAAAATAATATGGACATTAGAAGTACTAAATCTTTCATCAATCTCCCATTTCTCCTTGAGCATTCTTACTTTGCAATAATAAAATAATCATTTATAATCTTCTTCCCTCAGGTCGATAACAGATATCGAGAGAAAAATTACAAAACTTGTCAAGCTAGCCAGGTTACTATTAGAATAAATGTATACTCATTTCACGTTTGCATCTACTTCTTTTCTATATATGCAGGTACTTCATAGATTGGAAGAGTGATGTGGACAGCTACTTTACAATAGATGCAACTGAAGGAACTATTGCAACTAATGAATTATTGGACAGAGAAAGCACTGCCCAGTATAATTTCTCTATAATTGCAAGTAAAGTTAGTAAGTACAACATAAATTGAGCTTACTTTATAATGCAATAATTTAAAAAATACAGTATTCAGATATGAGTATTCACTAATTATTTTTTATTGTGAAATGGTTTTAAAGGTATGTAACATGGATCTGTTTCTAAAGACTTAATGTAAATGTAAGTATCAAATTTGCACAGTCATTTTCAATAGGATTTGGCCACCTACTCAGTTTGCAGGCACAGTTTCTCTGAAGTTTATGGTTCTGCCAGTAGATAGAGGTTGGAGTTTGAAGATACTAGAGTATTGATTATATGAGAATGTTGAATATCAAAGTTCAGTGACTAAACCCTGAAGAAATAATTAAAATTGTGATGTAACAATTGTAGTTTGTATCTATTACACTATACATTTGGCATGCATTCATTCCCAACATACCTTTCATTCCCAAAGCATACCTTTAAACATCTATGCTTGTGATTAAAGAAAAAGGGAAGAGGAAAGGAAAAAAACATACTGGGGGAAGCGGGAGGAGAGCAACCGGGCAGGGGTCACCACACTCAGGTACGCATGTACACATACATGTGGTAGCCAGGCAGTGTGGAGAGCAGCTCCTGAAGCTCCCTGTGGGGGACAGTAAATTGAGGCTTCTATGGCGAGGGACAGAGGGAGGGGATGGGGCAAGGTTGGTGCTGGGGGTGCTCCACAGTTGGGCTGGTGGGCTTAGGTGGGAATGCAGAGCCAGTTGGGGGAATAGAATGGAGCCGTGGGTAGCTTGTCTAAGGGGCTGTGGGAAGGGCTGGCTCCCTGACACTACATGCACTGCCGGGGAGAGAAGCATTGGGGGGGCCATGTGCTCCCTAGATTTGTGCATGGGATGGGGTCATATGCAGGCTGCCTGCTGTGGGGTAAGCACTACCCATCCTATTGTCCTCCATCATTTTGGGGTCATAAAAAATGTCCAATGTTTCCAATGTTTAAATGGGGTCACGCTGATAAAAGGTTGGAAAGGACTATTGTAGGAACTTCCTTCATCTCTTGGTATATTAAACAACCTTACTTACTTAATTTCCAGTTTTTTATGCACTATACCTCATTCTTGATCCTTATTATAGTTATTGTAAGTTTATATTACCCTTTGAAAAACTCATTTTGGTCATCAGACAGTCGATCTAAGAGCCATAAAAGTTTTTTTTTTTTTTTACTTCATTTCACTGTGCAACAAGGACGCTTGCAGCATTTTTATCCATACTCCATTGTTTATTCATCTTAGAATGTAAATTCCTAAGGCTGGAATATCTAATGCACTGCTTAGCACTCAGCATTCAATAAATAATAGATTTTAATAACATAGTGGCAGAGAAATGCATTTATTTTTAAGAATTACTCCAGTTAGAACAAAGAGTAACAGACAGGAAAGGAATTCTTAGATGCAGTTACCCCCAAGTAAGCCAGGGGATTACCCCCATAGGCAAAGGTTATATCATAAAAAGAAAAGTCAACTGAAGGAGTTTGACCATCAAGTATACAGTCTGAATCAATAAATATTGCCCTTAGCTTTGTGTGGGGAATTAAGTATATTTTCCTGGATCATTAAAAACAAAAAAAAAGAAAAGAATGAAACTAGTAATCCACTTCCAGAGGAGTTGAAAGATATGTAGATATGATTCTGCACAATGGAAGTTTCATAATGGTCTGTACTTCAGCAAAGCACAACTATTGAGATTTATTGATAGCAACGTGCCTTTGACATTTGCAAACTTTTCCTTTAGTAAGACATACATTCAAATGAACACATATTATTCCCCAAAGTAATTTAAAAGCCAAATTAAAGAACACAGGTGCACGTGTTTTTGTACCAATATGGTGTATAAGGGGAAATAAAGTCTTTGTAATCTAGTTTTTATGTTAGAACAGTGGCATGCAGCCTATGTATTCCCATTTCTAGACACAGTAGTCAACTGTCAATCCTTTAGATTATGATGTACATGTAAGAGGTCTAGTCAGGTCCAAGACCATTGGTGCATACAACTAGGCAAGAGTGGACACTGCCTCAGACCTACCATTCCCTCCTTTAGACAATTGAGATAGAATCCAAAAGCCAAAGTGAGTCCAGACATGTAGTGCCTTGATATCTGTACCTTCTGCCAGAGAGCCACAGATAAGTATGGATGCTGACTGCCTAATGCCTCAACAAAGGTGTGTTTCTGTCCCATAACCTTTCTTCAGTCAAGGAGTACCGACAAGGCAGTGGGAGCTAGGGTTTTGAGGTCCCCTATAATCATCTTACTCTGGAGGTTGGAACATTGTGATATTTTATAAGAGCTATCCCACCAAGAGTAGCCCCATCACATTGCCACCAGGCCCTCCAGAAAGATGCTGTTTATGGTCATACTTAGAACAATAGCCATGACTGAATTAGTAAATCTATACCTCAGGTGTATTTGAGATTGAAATATCCATTAGCAGAGGGAGTCAGTTATCTGTGCTAGTCTAAAGAAAGGGTAGTGTTACACCTTGTAGACTAATTCAGATAACACATAACCTTAATAAATATGCCTTAATATTTGCAAATAAAATATGGCATTAAAATAAAGGTTATACATATAATATACCTGCAATTGGCTATACTTGGGAGGTTATAAGATATAAAAACTGTCAAAGCTTAAAGTAGATTGTCAGAGCTGACACAGAAAAAATATTGGGATTTCAGAAATGCTTTAAAGGAGATCCAAAAAATCAACTTCCTGAATTTCATGCAAACAAAAGTTCAGAACTCTTTTAAAAGCATCACTTGTCATGTTCAGCATATTTAATAGGGAGAAGAAGTAAGGGAAACATTTGAAAAAAAGAGGGGAGGGAGAACGAAGAGAGAATTATAGTTTAATCAATTGGAGAAATTTCTGCCATTAAAACTGGTGATGTCATTATTTCATGACTTTGGTAGGAACCCTAGAACTGCTCTCCTATATCAGATTAACAGTCTATAGCTGCCTGGCTCGTGTTGTGTCTCTTCTGTCAGTAGCCATGACAAGATGCTTCCTTGTATAGTGCAAGAAAAATACATAATGGACAATTGTAGCATAACCTACCCATAAGGAAAGTTTCTTCCTAAAACTCATCAATTAGTAATCATCTCATGCCCTGAAGCATGTGATTTTATATTCCTTTTGAACTTTTATCCCAGCTGTGAACAATAGGATGTCTTCTTTTAATGGTGTCTTACAGTCTGGAGGAAATAAGTTGAAATATTTCACATTCCAAGCCATTACGGGAAAACAAAAATTAAATTGCTTTTGAATATTAGCACATGCACATTTATCAAGAATTGAATTTTCAATTTTTTTACAGATAAGAGGGGGAATGATCCAACTGGCTGTCCTATCCATTAAAAAATAATAACATATTTTCTCACATACCACAGTCACCTTTCCCTCAAAATTAGCCCTCCAAAATTGGGGTATATATCTTAAGTGGGGAAGCTGATTTTTGTTTCCTGAAATAGAGGCAGGCAAGAATAAAACAGATGGATACTGTAACTCATGGCTGCCAAGATAGCTGCCACTTCTCCCTGGGGCTGCAAAGAGCAAAGGCAGAATCTAGTATTAACTCCCTCACAGCTGATAAGGCAGTAACTTTTGGCTGAAGAGCCACTGAGCTGACTGAAGGTAAGTGAGATGCTGCATGCAGTCTATATAGTATGCTGATGGGGCTTGTGGTGTGGAAACAAAATTATTATATTCAGAACTTATATAAGGAACTATCATATTTATCTTTCTCTGTATTTCTCCTTTCAACATGGGGAAGAAACCCTTCTTTTGGATTAAAGTACATTGCAGGGAGTAGGTTGCTTCTGTGCCTGTGGCTGTAGCTGTAGCTCTGGCCCCAGCCTGGGCTCAGGGTCTAAGCTGCAGCTACCATGGGCCTCCCACCACATCTGCCCCCTATGCCATGCACTCCCCACGTCTGCTTCTTCCCCCAGCTGCTGTCACTTACCTTCAGTCAGGCCCAGCAGTAGTAGCGACAGTGGTAGCAGCCCCCGGCTCTGGTTCTGACCTGGTCCCAGAGCCAGGTCCAGAGCTGCCGCTGCTGCCTCCACCACCAGGACAAACCCTCAATCTGCTACCCACATGCCTCAGGGAGGGCCAAGCAGGCAGTGGATCATGGAACTGTTCCAGCTCTGCTCCACATGGTTACCACCACAAAATCCTGGCCACGGATTGCCTCCCTGCCACTGCTTTCCATGCTCAACTGGTGGTGGGGTGGGGAGAGGTCTGAATTCAGGATGGCCCTCCAATAATTAGATTCTATACACGGAAAATATAACAAATTTATAATTTTTCCATGCATAGAATCTAATTATTTGGGGCTTGTTTTAAATTTGAAGTCATCTTGCTGTTAAATAGAAGCCCCTGCAACAGTTTGGGGCCTAGCGTTGTTGCTTTCATAGGATCACAGAAAGAATCATAGAAAGTTAGGATTGGAAGAGACCTCAAGAAGTCATCTAGGCCTGCTCAAACCAGAACCATCTGCAACTAGATCATCCCAGACAAAGCTCTGTCCTGCTGCTTCACCCATGCTATTTCCTAAGATGCCACACATGGACATTCTGTGTTTCCAGGAGCTGTGCTTTTACATCACACATTTGGCTATGACTCTGAAAAGTATTTTTTTCTATGTTTTGTCTTCTAAAAACAAGTTGCATGTTTTCTTTAGGGGCATGTGGTATGCAAGAAAATAGCATAGTTCATCACTCAACATTAACAGAAAAATAAATTCCTCAAACCAAGCCACCCCGTTAAAAAAAACTAACAAAATGGTGATTTTTTTCACATGTATATACACAACATTAGGCAATGAAGCATGAATTCAAAAGCTAAAAGCCCAGTTTTCCATAAGTATGCTCTAATGTTCCAAGTGTTCATATAGTTTATCATGACTCTAACTTCTCATTCACTTCAGTAGGTTTAGACACCTAAGATCTTTATATAGCTGTTATATGGTAAGACTTAGGTGCCTCTGAGGAAAGAC